GCTAGTAGGTTGGAGGCCATCGCTAGTAGGTTGGAGGCCATTGCTAGAGGTTGGAGGCCATCGCTAAAGGTTGGAGGCCATCGCTAGTAGGTTGGAGGCCATTGCTAGAGGTTGGAGGCCCTCCCAGTATGTTCACCCCACTTCAAAGCGCCCTGACGCTGTTGGGGGTTGAAGGAGGGCTGCAGATGCACCATGATGCACCAAGGAGTCATGGTGTGAGAAGGATGAAGCAGAGCAAGCTGAGAAGCACGGGGATGAGACGAAGGAAGAGGCTGAACTGCCGGCTGAACAGTAGCCACTCACAAGCCTCAGTAGCCTCACAAATGGAGCTGAAGAACATATCTCCCTAGCCAACCGCAAGCCAAGCAATTTGTGCTGGTTTTGGTTCCTTTACTTCTTTTTGGAATGACAAAGGGTTGGCCAGGGAGGGTCTTCCTGTTCTTCTGGTCCGACTGTGGTACACCGGAACATCGGCGGTCCTTGCAACTGTCTTGTTTGTGGATGCCTTGGAAGTAATTGACATTTGATTGTTTTTTGTACTTTTATTGTTTCACACACTGGAAGACTGGGAGCGCCCATTAGGTCTAGTGTCCTGGCGAAGAGTCTCGTCAATTGCATGGATGTAAGGCGAAATGAGGTCCAATTTGCAGGAATCAGGAACATGTTTTTGGCAAGCCCTTACTTAATTAAGTAGGCGCCTACATAGTTGAAACTAAACAGTAATTTTCAGTCGATCATGAGTGCATCAAGGTTTGCTTGAAGAAGCTACGCAACCATCATTTTTGATGTGATTTCCCCGATAACAGTTCCTATCCGAATGACATGTTGTGCGCCGAACCCGCGGGTTTCTGCGGATGTAAAAAAAGGCACGCGATGCACGATCCGACGCCCACGAAAGAGAGGAGTCCACTGGAGAAATTCAACGAGAGACGAGCGGGGGAGAGGCCATAGCTAGTACGTTGGCGGCCGTCGCTAGTAGGTTAGAGACGAGCGGGGTGGTGAGACCACGAGCTACGAACATCCTCCACCGTTTCAACTATGGCAGATGACTGTTGTTCCTTTCCATTTTCGGTGTACGGTTGACTCAGCACTTGAAGAGAGGATTAACTCTCAATTCCTGATCTGAGGACGGATGCTAAAAGAGCTCCATCATGTTTCCAAATCATGTGTTTAGATTGGAGTGACAGATGCCGCGGTTACAATCGGAGCACGTGGACAGTTGGAATTCTTGAAACACCTGTGATAGGGAACATGCTCGCAAGCACTATGCGACTTCTGCGTGAATTTGATGAGCAACTTGAGATTGAATTGTTGTAAAAACAATTGAAAATTTGTTTTTTCCATATCCAGCTATTTGGATGCAGGCCATCGCTAAGGCCATCGCTATTAGGTTGGAGGCTATTGCTATTAGGTGTTTGTTTATCCCATATCCAGCTTAAGCTTGCATGTGGCCTCAAGGATTGTGCTCATCAGCTCAAGGACGATTCATGGATCGCATCGAAACCATGCTGAAGCCTCTTAAGCAAAGGCCTGTTTTGGTTTCTTGTTTGTCTTTAAACAAGGCGGCAAATGAAAAAGATCACTGAAAAACTCTCAACCACTGACTGTTGCTGAGCTACCATGCCATACTGAACATATGAACACCGTTCTTTTTGAACATCAACCAATCGTTTCTAGGTTGGAGGCCATCACTTCACTAGACTTGCTACTAGTAGTAATGCCCTTGTTATTAGTAGCTTCTTGTTACTACTAATAAGGCACTTGTTACTAGTAGCGATGCACTTGTTACTACTAGCTATTAGAAACAAAGAAAAAGAGGAAGAAAGGAGGCCATTGCACCGTGAAGATGTCGTGGGCCAATGAGATCGTGGCGCGCCTGGCGAAAGGCGACGTGGCGCCTGGCGAGAAGAAGGGGCTCGTGCTGATCCTCGGTGGAGAGGATGTTGGATTCCTTGGGCGGTTTCTTTTGAAGAGATTTGTTTCAGTCAGTAGCTCTTCCTGTCAAAAGGAAGCTAGCAATGATTTGATTTAGCAATGACATACCTTTTCTTCCAGGGCAATGAGTAGGGTAACGTATAGTCTGAAATGAACCATGTTTGATATTTTGGGTGGGTGTTAAAACCAAAGAAAACTGCAGTGTGTTTGGGGATCATGTGGCACAGCGTGTTCACACAAGAGGCAGGACACCAAAAAAGTAACCTCCTTTGAGACAAGGAATCTTCACACTTGCTCTTGAACCTTCCTCTAATGCGGCTAATGCTTGATAGCATAGGAAAGTCTCACAACCATCCACCACACTTCACATGGTCTTTCCAACTTGGAACTTCACACTTTCTTCAGATTTTTTTCCTTCTGCTTCCTTAATTAAGTAGGCACCTATTAATTAGGTAAGGGAGTAGGCTTCTAGCAAGACTTAAGCTTCCAGCAATGGGACGCAAGATAGCTCGCACTAATGATTTGGTTCCTTGATTTTTAGTGAAGCTTAAATTTAAACTGAACTTCAAGCTTTCTTCAAGTTCTTTTTTCTAGCCCGTGGCCCTGCCTCCTTAATTGAGTAGGCGCCTACTTGATTAAGTAAGAGAGTAAGCTTCTAGCAATACTTAAGTGAACTTCAAGCTTTCTTCAGAGGGGCAATCTGCTGCAGGAATTGCTCATGGCCAATGCCCGAAGGGGTGCATCTTGGTTGCAAATCTATCTGAGCTGCGCCAAGAAACTTCTTTGGGACAGGCGGAACAATGCCGATTTCTTTTCGACGGGTAATGATCTAATTACTAGCAAAAAATCTACTAGGACCTTTTCCCGCGCACGCACGCGCGCGCGGGGGGGGTGGGAGGAAGCTTCTTGTTACTACTAGTAAGGCACTTGTTACTAGAAGCGATGCACTTGTTCCTAGTAGTTTCTTGTTACTACTAGTAACAAGTGCCACGCTAGTAGTAACAAGTGCCTTACTAGTAGTAACAAAGTTCGCTATTAGAATTGAACTTAAATTTAGATTAAATTTATAGCTTCTTGTTACTACTAGTAAGGCACTTGTTACTACTAGCGAGGCACTTGTAATTACTAGCAAAGGAATCTACTAGGACCTCGCGCGCGCGCGCGCGGGGGGGGTGGGAGGAAGCTTCTTGTTACTACTAGTAAGGCACTTGTTACTACTAGCGAGGCACTTGTTCCTTGTAGTTTCTTGTTACTAGTAGCAAACATTGCTCCTAGTAGTACGGCCAGGAGCTAGTAGCGTCCTTGCTCCTAGTAGCAATGCCCTTTGCTCCTGTTAAGGAAGTGGTGGTTGGGGCCCCATGTCCTCGTATCAACACCAAGGAAAGGTTGACCAGAGGTCAAGCATGGGCAAGCGGCAAGCCGAGGACGAATCACATAGTCTCACCCGCATGGCGCCTGCTCCTGGGACCCCCGTCGGGGGGGAGCGGCCTCCGTCGTCTGGGGCGGCGGCTGCCGCTGCTGATGCGGCCATGCAGCCGGATGACGGCGACGTGCCCATGGATGGGGGGCACACTGGTGCTGCGCGTATGCATTGCCCAGTGCCAGGCTGCGTAGCAGCAGCCCACCGAGGCCACGCTGGGTGGGAGACCTTTACCGGTCTCCGGGCTCATGTTGATGCCCACATTCTGGGCCAGATCCCTGGCGCAGTGCCCGCTGAATGGCTGCGGGCGCGGAACATGGTCTCATGCCGAGAGTGCTCCCACCTCATCAGTCGCCGCTGCAACGGCGGGGTCCACCGCACCTGTCTGGCGGATCGCATGGCTGCGAGACCTCAGCCCCTGTCTCTTCCTGGTGCCTGTGGGGATGCTGACTTGGACGCAGTGCTGGGCAGCCTTCCTTCCTTGGATGAAATGTTTTCTGCGCCCGTTGGCACTCGCGATTTGATTAGTTCTGCTCTTTTGCCCTCTGCGCAGAAAGAATTTTTACGCTGCATTGTGCAGGTCCTCCAGCACAACACAGGCGATGCTTGGGCTGCCCCGGAGGACTGGCAGACACGGCTCCGCGCAAGCGGTGTCGTTTGGCTTGGCTTGAGCTTTTCATGTTTTGCAAAACTGGCTGGCTGCGCTACCTGGTGGAGCAGCTAAGCGCCGCAGAAACCACAACATCAGCTCCAACCGCCTGGAACGGTGGGCTCTCGGAGAGCGACGGAGCTTATGGGATGAGGTCGTAGCCCGTCGTGGCGCGCCTCGGCTTGCACGGCAACAAACAGATGAGGAGAAGGAGCAGGCAGCCCGTCTGGTCGCAGAGCAGTATGCCCGCCGAGGCATGCCAGGCAAGGCCGTGCAACGCCTCTCGGGAGCCCCACCAGCAGCCCCTACACCAGACACTGTTGCTGCCACGCAGGCCAAATTTCCGACGCGGCCTCCCCACCAAGCAGCCTCTCTACGGGCGGCAGCACCGCCGGCCAATGACATTAGCTGCGATGAGGTGGTGCGGGCGGTACGCTCCTTCCCCCGGGGTGCCGCGCCAGGGCCTACCGGTATGCGGCCCGACTTCCTCAAGCAGCTTGTTGATGCTGGGGATGAGCAGTATGGAGCGCAGGCCCTGACTGACCTTGTGAACCTCCTTGCTGATGGGCGGGCTCCTGCTGCTTTGCGGCCTTACTTAGGTGGGGCTCGTGGCACAGCCTTGGCGAAGCTTAGTAAGACTGGCACAGCCGACGTGCGGCCTTTATGTGCCCGTGAAGCTTTGCGCCGACTTGTTGGCAAGGTCTTGCTGAGGAGTGAGCTTCCGGCATTGCGGGCGCACTTGTTGCCGCACCAGCTCGCGGTTGGTGTCTCGGCTGGCGCTGAGGTTATGCCACATTTATACCAGCAGTGGGAGCACCACTACCGCGCTGACACCGACCGCGTGTGCCTATCCTATGATGAGGGCAATGCCCACAATGTGGTTGATCGCCATGTATTTCTGACCCGCATGCAGGAGGTAGCCCCTGGCCTTTCTCGCTGGTTAGAATACATCTACCCCACCGACATTGATACTAAGGTCTTCTTCCACCATGTGGTCATTCCTTCCGTTGCGGGCGGCCAACAAGGGTGCCCTTTGATGACGGCCTGCCATGCTGTGGTGCAGCGGCTACTGTTGGAAAGCTTGGGCTTGGTTGACCCACCTGCCGGCACAGCTGTGGCACTGCCCACATTGCAACCGCCCGCTCAGCTGGATATGGCACCGTGCTTTGCGGACGATGGCCTTCTTGCCGGGCCTTCTGGCGAGGTATTGCGGGCATTGCAGCATTGGTCCGTTGTCATGCCGCGTCTTGGGCTGAAGTTGTCCACTGCCTCTGTTGCTCCGGTTGCGGGGCGCCAGCATCAGGTCGACCTTCGTCCTTTTGCTGCCTTAGGGTGCGCTCTCTGCGAAGACGGCAATTTCGAGGTCCTCAAATCTCCCGTTGGCGATGCAGACTTCAACCGACAATACTGTCTACAGCGGGCAGCCCAACAAGCAACTCTAGTGCAATCGGTTGGTGCCTTGGCGGATCCTCAGGTTTGCTATTATTTGCTGCGGTGGTGTTGCACTGGGGGCCGGATGAATTATCTGGCTCGCACTACCCCTGCTCGGCATTGTCTCCCTGGTCTGGTCGCCTTTGACTCGGCCCTGCGTGATGCGTTTTGCGCTTCCACGGGGTTTGCTTTGGACCCCCAAGCCTGGAAGCAAGCTCAGCTGCCGGTTGCTAGTGGTGGCCTCGGGCTTCGCTCTGCGGTTTTACTTCGCGGATGCTGCCTACATTGGCTCACGTCTCTTGGTTTTGGAGCGGTGCCACGCCCTGTGGACGCCCGCTGCTTGGGATGGCTTGGACGGTGGCAGTGAACTTGGGTTGGCCATTGCCCGGTGCAATGGGTTGCTGCAACAAGCTGGTCTCCAACCTCCTTTGGGGGACCAGCCGGACCGCAGTTTGAGCCAACCGGCCATCTCACATCGACTCCGGGAAGTGCACGTTCTGGCTTGGAAGGCAGCTGCAGGCACCGACGATGTTTGTCGCCTCCACGCATGTTCTGCGGACTCTGCTGAAACGGTTTTGAACCTTGTCCCTTCGCGCATACTTGACACCAATCTCTCCAAGGATGATTTCCTGACTTGTTTGGGCGGTCGCCTTGGCGTCGATATGTGCCTTGGGGGCGGGGCCTGCCGTTTTTGCGGTTTGCCTATGGATGTAAAGGGCCGCCACCCACAATCTTGTATGGCCGGCGGTGATGCTGTTGCTCTCCACAATGGCTTGCGGGACCTCTTGCACGACTACTGTGCACGGGCCCAGCTGCGGCCCCAGGCACTTTTGGATGGGCGACGGCGGCCTGCTGACATCTTCTTGCGAGGTGGGGCTGGCCTTCTTCCAGCCTTGCCTGATGGCTCCCGGCCCGTTGGGCTTGGTGCCCTCGCCTTGGATGTGGCTATCATCAACTCCTTGGGCCCCAGCCACTGGGATGACACCTTACGCGGGGCGCCAGATGCTGTCACTGCCTACGCGCAGCGGAAGCGGGATCACTTGGATACCGCGGCCTCCTGCCAACAAGTAGGCATTCATTACCAGCCCCTTGTGTGGGACATCTATGGTGGGTGCACGGCAGCAACGCGGGCTTTCCTTCACCGCCTGGCTGGCTTGGTAGCCACAGTCGAGGGCATTGATCTGACCCTTCCTGGACCAGCTTGCTGTCGTGCTGGCGCGAGGAGCTGGACGGGCATTGCGCCGTCGGCGTCGTGGTGCCGCGGCGCCACCACATGCCTCCGGCCTTGTTGCCGGCTTGCTCCTGGAACCGTGAATTGCCGATGGTGGCTGTTCGCTTCTTGCCTTTCCTCTTCCTGGACCCCGACCTTTTATTGCATTTTTCTCTTGCACCACGGCGGCCGTCAGTACAGTGGGCCTTGGCTTCTGTTTACTGACTATGCGGGGACACCAATGGCGGAGACAGCATAGTCTATGCCTCAGCCCTGGGGGCCTCTGACCCGCTGTCATGGCAGCCCTTTTCGCGTTGCCTCGTTTCACTTGGTCTCACTGTGGCAGGTTTTTTCCCTTCCTAGAAGGTTTTTCCTGCCCCCTGGCCTTCATGTTCCAGGTTTTCACTTGAATTTGTACAGTGTGATGGTCTACGAGACGTAGACATTATATCATCACTGTCTGTGAACTCCAAACCGATATGTCCTGTACTGGATATTAGATTCTTGTCAGGCCCCCCATCGATAGAACAAGGAGCAACCTTCTCCATTTTTAACCTTTCCTTTTCGCGTAATGGTCTAACATTGTCGAACCGGTCACAGGTTCGTCGGCACCTTGCCTTGCGTGCAGGAAAGTGAGGTAGACCTGCTCTTTGAGCTTTCCGCAGGAACCATTTCAATCCCATTCAGTCTAGCATTCAGTCCGTCTACACCGTCTAAGCCTCTTATAGAATGTTTCTCTGCCATAGACCTGAGGCAGAAGCAGTACGAGCGATTCCGCGAGCGTTTGATTGAGGGTATGCCCAAAGAGGCCAGAGGGTAGGCCGATGGAGAGGGTTCTTTGCCCAACCTCAAGGTGACGGTTCTACTTCTGACCAAATGCCAGGCTTGGTGTGTTTGATTTTGATATGTTGAGAGTTCATGCACAACCGCGGTGATTTGGTAGCAAATGTAGCGGAGGCCTACATCTACCCCGCCAGCACCTTGCACTGCACCATTTGCACCTTCCGTGCATTCACTGCAGGTGGGGTGATCCGAGGATTGCAAATGAAAGTACTGCAGAAAGCAGAAAAAGGACGCTACTAGGGGGCTCCTGGTGGCATCGCTACTAGGAGCAATGTTCGCTACTAGCAACAAGAATCACTTCCAAAATGGTTCTTGGATGTATCAGACCGCAGTTGGATCAACAAAGCAATACAAGACTCTGAATTACAGAAATCAGTGGGCTTTCGGTTTTGGTCCTACAGTACCTTTTCAACAGCTAGGGCGTGATGTCACAGACTGCTTATCTGATCATCGAATCCTGGCACATTTCAACATACCACTGAAGAGTTAGCACTTGGACCGCAGTAGTAGTGAGAGGAGGAGGTGGAGGAGTAGTAGGAAGAGAAGCAGGAGCAGTAGTGGCACTGCTAGCACCACGGGCACCACCACTTGTTACCACTACCTTCTACCTTGTGCTGTTCACCGTTTTCTTTGTTTCAGGGCCCTTGGAGGACACGAAGGCCGTGGAGCGCTGGCTGCAGGTCTTGGACAAAGCTCAAAAATCGCCGGAGTGGCCCAAAGGCCAGACCATTTGATGAGGTGAGCGCTGAATGTCCACCAGTTATATCCAGTTCTTTTCTGGCAGGGTTGGGCAGTTCATCGAATGCTAAACGAAAAAAGACACTACTCATCTTCATCATCCACCTCCCCAAAGGCCATTCGTCATCCTTTCTGCAGCGCTAAGAGGGCTTCTGTTGCCGCCTCCGCCACTAGGCGCCTTCCGTTTGCGAATGGGACGCCCCACACTGGAGGGCTCGGCGGCAATCTTCCGCTACGAAGACTTGGCTCCGCGCCAAAAATATCACTGGCTGAGCATTCAGGAATGATTTGGTATGGGATATTGGGTTTGGATGGCCCACTTCCATTGGTTTACATCAACTCTTTTTCCGCTTTCGATGACCAACACCCAAACCAATTGATTTTCCCTGCAAAATCTCATTAGCCATCATTTGATACATCCATGGATCCTGTTCTCCATATTACCAACAGCCTTTGGGGTGTGGACCTGTTTCACTCCGAATGCACCTGAGGATGGCCACATCCACAGCATGCGCTCTGCGTTGCGTGGGGCAATTCTAGAGGCCGGTGGCGAAGCGGCTGAAGGCTGGGTGATCGGCACGCTGCCCTGGGACTGGGGGAAGCCATCCCAGCACCAAGATTTGAGTTTTGAACACATTTCTATATGCCCGGCCAGGCATTGTTTGTGTACGTTGATACTTCGAAAACTTTGGTCTTATGAATCCATGCGATCACAGGCTACAAAATCGTCCGGAAGTCCGCTTCCCTTCCCAAGGCCCTACAAATTTCGTCAATTGGAAGTAGCGTAGGTCCCCACAGAGATTTCGGTCAAGGTTTTCAACGACTAGGGCTTCCTTTGATTTTGCCAATTGCTGCCCACCTTGGCTCTTTCTAAAAGTTCTAGGCTGGAGGCCATCGCTTCTAGGTTGGAGGCCATCCCTAGTAGGTTGGAGGCCATCGTTATTGGGTTGGAGTCCATCGCTATTAAGTTGGAGGCCATCGCTAGTGCTCATTGCTCTTAGGTTGGAGGCCATCACTATTACGTTGGAGGCCATCGATATAAGGTTGGAGGCCATCGCTATTAGGTTGGAGGCCATCG